GCTTATATCCTCCTTTGAATACTGTTTCTCCTGGTTATGAGTCACCCTTTTCTCCTTGTCATGACTAATGATTTATGATTGGATGTTGGGCATTGGGATTGTTATGGTGTTGAAAGTCGGATATTCTTACCTTTCTTTAAAGAATATTTTGGCAAACAGTTAAGTTGCAGATCAGTTTGATTGCTCTGAGCGTTTTTAAATGTTTTTAGGTTCTTTCACTCCAGAGATAATTTAGCCCTACTACACAGGCATACATAACCTTTGTGTGTCTCCACAGAATGCCCCCAGCAGTTACTGAGGACTCCTCACCCTGATTGGTTGGTGCCCAAATGATACCCCAGCTTTCATGAGCTCTAGGGATTATTCCACTTAAAACTCCCAAATTGTTCTTTGTCTTACATTATTGAACTTTACTCTCACATGTACTGTCTACTGTTCAACAAAAACTCAGTGTGATTTCAATAGATATCTGGAGCTGTTTCATGTTCTTTTTCGTAGCTCTCTGCTTTTCTGTAATTTTGCTCTGTAATTTCCAGCCAGCTCAGCCTCCCTGCACTTCAACTTCTGTATCTTCATCTCCTTCATACTCCTGGACTCCGTGTAGGTTTCCCCTCCTCCTGGCTGCGGTACAGAAATTGCTGGTAAGTAGGCAGCTAGGGAAATTGTAAGGCTTATGTCAATGTTTTCTCATTTCTTAATGATCATAGTCCTGGGTAGCCTGTTGCCTAAAGTCTAAAAATTGTTATTTTATGTACTTTACTCAGTTTTCTGTGTTTATAGCAGGAAGTTGAGTCTGGTCTTTATTATGCTATTATGGACAGAAGTGGAAATTCGTATATAAAAGTGATTTAAATTCTTTAAAGTGGTATTTTTTTACATTTCCCTTTTTAGACTATTCCTTTCTTAAACTCTTGGAGTAACACACGCTCACAGGTGGACTGCCCTTTTGTGTGTATGTGTGAGAGACGGTGAGAGCAAGAGAGAGACACACATACACACACAGATGCTTGATATTGTTGAAAACTATTTTCATTTTCTTCCATTTGAGTTTCATATTTTGGCTTTTGAATGTCAGAGTTTTTCTTCAATAGTTATTTGTTTATCTTAATAGTAATGATAAGAATTAACATAAAAATGTCATTTCATGAATTGTATTGCCTGGAATATAGCCCAATAAAAATAATTTTTTAAGTATTAAGTAAATGATAGTAAATATAAAAAGCAAACAATGTAAAGTTTTCAAAGGAATTAATTTGGAGGCCTTCCAGAAACTGTAGAAGGACTAGCTAGGGTAAAAAACAAGAAGAGTTAAATATTCAGACTTTCTGTATCTGACTAAACACTATTTTTCTTATCTTTGGAAAATCCTGTCTCCCAAAGATTTATTTATATTATTGCCCTTTTTTAGGGTGCTGTTACATTTGAATTGGCTAACAGAAGACACATTCTCTAGAAATCAGTAACATCACGTAGCTGGCAACACTCTCTTTGATCAGGAATGCCCGGATGAACTCCCAATGCCATACAACTCTTCTTCATAGACACTCTTCCTTCCTCTTGACAATTACATGCCTCCCATTTATGAAGGTGCAGAAAGGGCCCGCGAAGAACTCTTGACAAGTAGAGCTACTAAAACATTAAAAAGTGTAAAATAAGTAAAAACATTTCTGACAGAAGAAAACAGAGGCTAAATTACAAGCTCCTACTTTGTTTACATTTGCTTACATGGTGGTTGTGTCAGACGGTCAAAGTTCAGGGAGCAGACACTGCCACCAATTAATGGCGGAGCCAGTTACCCAGGAGGAAAAGTGATGAGTGTGAATTCAAAATCTGCAACTGCTCTAGTCTAAGTGTGGGTCTGCACATCTGTCTCTCAGTGCTTTAAGGTGGAAGCACAGGGTTGGTCATTTTGAGGTTATTTAGTCTTCAGAAATGTTTGCACTGCACATGGTGATTTTACCCATTAGCACTGTGAAGGCGGATTTTCTGCAAGCAGATTAACAATGGTGGGAAAACCTAGACAACTTGTTGTGAATATAATCAGTAGCTCTGTAGGAAGTTTTATCGAGTGCCAAGGATTTGAGGCCAAGATAATAAAGGTCTAAGTTGCAAGAAGTCCTCTATTATTCTTTTTCTTTACTTTCTTTCCATTCCTCTCCACATGTAATTTCTTCAGTGCATGGGACTCAGTCACCTGGCTGACTCTCAGTACAGGGTAGTTAGTTGTAAGAAAACAACTCAAATAATGCTGTGAGGGGAAAAAAATGAAATTCTGTCAAGTGGTTGTCAAATGCCTTATAAGAAAAACTAAGTGCTTAACTTTTGATACAGGGCTTCCAATTAAATATGCACATTAAAACAGGAAAAATACTATGAAATCATGCTGGCTCATGGTTTCATGAGCCAAGATGTCCTCAGAGTAAAGGAAAAGAGAGATAACTATTATATAGAGCCAAGGAATTTAAGTAAAAATGCCGGAATCTTTTCATTGAATTGGTAAAAATATCGGCATATTATTTCTTTCTGAAAAATACTCTGATGTGTGTAACAAAAGTATGAAATGCTCTTCTTACGAAGTGATTTTTTTACTCTCTTCCATAGGAGATCAGTACCTGCTGAGAGAAGCTCAGGCTCCTGACAGCAAAGGCCCCTTGGAGTAGAGCACAGTCTAGAGGTCACCTGGGAAGCAACGGAAGCAACTTCGTTTCTTCGTGCGCTTCCTTTTTTTTTTAAATTTTTTTATTGATTATGCTGTTACAGTTGTTCTATTCCCCCTTTATTCCCCTCCACCCTACCCCTCATCCCCACCATTACCCCCCCTTTAGTTTATGACCATGCATCTCAAGTCCTTTAGATTCTATATTTCCCATGCTATTCTTGCCCCCCCCATCTATTTTCTATCTACTGTCTATGCTACTTATTTTCTGTACCTTCTCCCCCCTTCTCCTTCTCCCACTCCCCTGTTGCTAACCCTCCTTGAGATCTTCATTTCTATGTTTCCACTCCTGATCTAGCTGTCCTTTTAGTTTTTAAAACAGGTGTGTACTCTCTCCCTAAAACAGGAAGCAGCTAGAACGAAGTTGATGTTGGCCACCAGGGGGCATTGAAGCCTCAGTAACATCACTTGAACAGTCACAGCACAATTTGCCTATCTTCCCTCCTCACCTCCATATTCATAAACACCACTTTTTCACAATGATAGCAATTGCGAATCTGAACTCCACGTGTCACTTCGCTCATTCTCATCCTTCTCTTCTAAGAAGAAAACATAACCCCTGTGTAACCAGCTGTAACTTTCTTAGGCTCCGTACAATTTCTATCATTTCTAAGGCTTCTTTCTTCACAGTTTCGCTTTTCTCCGCCTTTCATTCCATTTTAAGATTCTTTCTTTCCTCTCATGTCTTTGCTTGTATCTGCAAAAGTGCACAGAAATATCTGCAAACATCCTAGAAACTGTCCTGGAAATCTACCCAGCTGGGCGTTACCCTCAGTCTTGGCTGTGCCCTTTGGCTTTTCCTTCCTGTCTCGTCCTTCATGCTACAGAGCATGGGAAGACATGCTCTGAGAAGACCAAGAGGATCTATGCACTTTCGGTTCCCTGTGCCTGGCTCTGTTAAATCATCTCTTCTGCCTCACAGCAGCAGAAAAAGACAGTGAAGTTATTGAGCATAAATCTCTTAACAGACATTTCCACAAATTTGCCTTTGGGGATGTTGAACTTTGAGAATTTCTTCACCCTGTTCCTTCATTTTATTTCTTCAGCTAGAAGCAAATGAAATCCATATACAAGGAGACTTCTTTAACGATATGTCACTGCCAACATCCACTTCACATATAAACTGCCTCAGTTAAAGCAGCTGGGCATCTACAGAGAATTCAGCATAAAACCGGAAATAAAGACGGAAGTTAACTTGGAAATGATCCTGACCAAGCATCTGTAACGTTTTTAGGAAAAAGGAGCCACCACGTCTGAATTCTCCAGAGTGTATGGGTTAGGAGGGAGGGCTTTCCTGAAATCGGAGTGTGGCATTGGGACATCGCCCTAGCTGTCAGCGATGCTTCCTTCCCAGCGGGAACCTGCAGAGACTTGGAACTGGAGCACAGACTGCCCACCTGTACAATAATGCCACTGAGCATTCACTCAGGTGGTGCTATGGTGAAGAATGAATAGCATGCAACCCTACATAATATCGGACACCTAGTAGGGGAGCCAATACAGGCAACTTCCCTCCCCTGAGCAATAAATAACAAACGGTTTTCAGGGTAGGCTTAGAGCAAGACAGATCTGCATTAAAATTCTGCTTACTCCACTTACCAGCTTTATGTTTTTTCACTTTTTAAGTTTTTTTTTCTTTGTAAGATGATAATATAATAGCACTGACCATAGATGAGGATCCTTTTTAGGATACCATAAATGATCTGTGGATTGAACCCATTAATATAATTATAACTATTTTCAAGTAAAACTGATAAAGCATAACTAAACACATGGAAAGGGAGAATTAAGCTAGGCATATAAGTAAATGATTATTAACTGCTCTAGGACCTTAAATCCTTTTTGCCTCACCCTCTGTACAAAAAAACAAAACAAAACAAAACTGAGCTTTGCAGTAATAGGAAAATCTTCAATTAGCAAAACAGTGCCTAAGGAAGAACATCAAATATCCCTCTATGTTCAGGCTGTAGCTTAAATACTTTGGTTGTAAAGATAAATAATTTCCTACCAGTAATGATAAGTTAAGCAATAAAAAATGATTTGAAGATGGAACTGGCCAGAGTATTACCAACATATGAGTCTTTAAAAATTCAAAGAATGCAATTTTCTCATTTAGAAAGAAAACATTAAAAAGGCATTACGCTCTAACCATAATATATTTGTACAATCTACCAACTAAATTTATCTTTTTTCATGTTTTGTTCATGTTCAGAACTCAATTACAATCTACTTCATTATCATACCTTCTAGAAAACTTACCAATAGGATGCCACCCATTGCTACACTCATGGTGATGATCATTACGGAAATAGAAACTCTTTTCACTCACAATAACTCTAAGTACAATCCTGTGAAAAAAATTTGAAGAGGTCTTAATGAGTAGAAATTTGTATTTGAAATTGTGGGAATTAATTGTACATCTGTGGCATTAGTTTAATTCTGGAGGAAAAATAATGTAAGTTATTTGTTACTTCTTTGCTAAGCTTCTGGCAGCTTATACATTTAAGATAATGTATAAAATGTTAAAGAAGAAAGAACATGCTTGAATATGAAATACACATTGTATTTTATGAGGAAATTAATTTACTTTTATATGTTTTGTATAGATGTACTTGGCCTTTAAGGGTAAAAACTCTAAAAGCCTAAACTATTCTAGTATTCTCTGTTTCTATAAAGGAAGGTGGAAAACACTAAGTTCTGCACAATGAAATAGAACAGCAAATCAGACAGAACATAGCTATCTTATTCAGAAAGACATACAAGATACAGATAAGAGGCTTCTTATAATGGTAGGCATATTTTTGGCTCCATAAAAAGTAATAAAGGAAGTCTGATTTTCAGAGATGTTTAAGTGGGTAATAGTATGCTATCACCACAATCTATCTCTCACATTATTATTCTTAGCTAGTTCATTATTCCTTTTTCCTGAACAATAATATGAGTACTATAAAGCCCCAGGAATCAGATCAGATTGTTCTAAATTTATCCCAGTAAGCATTTTCTGTACTGAGAAGTTAAAAGCCATTATATGGAAGGTATATTAAAAAACACACACAAAAAATTCTAAATAGAAGTTTCTTGAGTTAATCTAAGTGGTGCTTCTGTTTCCTTCTAGAAGGAGATGGCATCAGTTTAACTTCACAATTATAAAACTTACATCTTTTCAAAAAAGGAAATAGGATCAATAGAGGTAAGCAGAAAATTCTGGATAAAGCTGAAACCTAACTAAGTGATCAGCAGTGTGACTTCAGAGTTCTCTTTCATCTTGGGATAATCTGAGGCCTGGGTGTGCCTTGTCTCTTTCTGAGATGCTCCCCTAAATCTTCCATTCACTGACCCCTCCTTCACCCCCATTTCCTGGTCACTAAAGCAACAAAAGCCCTTCTGCCCATCACTATGGATGGTTGAAGTAAAAAAGAATGCCTTGCTAATTTCGCTTAACAATTTCTTTAATCAGTCTTTTGAGGGGGCGTAGCTCTGTGGAAAAGATGATAAAATGAAAGCCTCCCCTCTCCTGGAGCTTTCAGTTCTGTAGAGGCAGAGACTCGGGAATTAAATAATACATTGTGTGCAGGGTGGTAATTAAGGGGCAGAAAGAAAAATAATGCAAGACAACAGAGTGAAGGGAGGAAAGAAGATCCCATTCTTAACTGTGCATTTGAGAAAAACCTCTCTAATAAGGTGACTAAACGGAGAACTAAGGGAGCTTAGGGAACAAACTGAGTGGCCATATCTGAGAAAATGGGTTTCAGACACAGAATACAGCAGTTGCAAAGTGGCTGAGACAGGAGCCTGCCTTGTGTGTGTAAGACTAGTGAGAGGTGATGAGAGGGGAGAGGAGGCCTAAGAAGTAGCCAGGGGCGAAATCCTGGGGAATTGGGCTTGTATTCTAATAGGGTAGGAGGGCTGGCTTTCCACTCCAATGTTTTTTAACATATTGGGACAACATTGGTTGATAACATGATATAAGTTTCGGGTGTACAATTCTCTAATACACCCTTTGTATATTACATTGTGTGCCCACTACCCAAAGTCTAGTCTCCTTCCGTCACCCTGTATTTGACTCCTTGTTGTCACAAATGGCAGCATTTTACCGTTCGTATGGCTGAGTAGTATTCCACTATATATACGTACCACATCTTTATCCAATCACTCACTGAAGGACACAGCTTTTTTCCACATCTTGGCTACCATGATTAATGCTACAGTGAACACAGGGGCACATATATTGCCATAAATAAGTGTTCTAATGATTTTTAGCAGATACTTACATTTCAAAAGAGAGAACAATTAGGCCTTGAACTTTCTTCCATACTTACAAGCATCAGTCAGGGTAGGGAGCGAAGCAGCCTTGGTTCTGGCCTTCACACCCACACTGTGCATCTTTGCCTTGGCAGGTGTAGAGCAAAGCTCTCTGGGGGCAGAAGGCAGACTCGGAGGGTCCTCTTCCTTACCTAGACGTAGAGGACTTGGGTGATGTCATTTAATTTGCCTTTAAATTTTTTACGACATTTTTCAGTTTTATGACTAGTACATGTCTTTGCATGTCAAGACTCAAACCTGATCAAATATGACTCTTCAGTGAAACAGCTGACATTTTAAAGTTACAGATCCATTTTCACCAAAGGAAACAGGATCATTTGACTTCTCTTTGTATGAATTTTGAGGCGGCTATCAACAACAAGCATAAATGAAATCTTTGTTACAACAAAATGAACCAAAATATTATTGCCAGTAATTCTTTGTTTTGTCTGTCAGTTCGTTGAATGAATCTTTTGTTTCACTGAAGGCAAAAGTTAGTTAGACACTGTGAGAATTCTAACACAATGACTTAGGGGAATTAAAAAATAATTTAGCCAAAGAAGAATCTCTAAACATGGAGTGAAAGAATTTAAATCTATTTCTCTTCCTCAAAAAGGTGAAATAAAAGCTTCTGTGCAGAAACACTGGAAGATGTGTGTCCATTGTGCCCTCCTGAACATGCTGTGCAGGTGTGGACTGAAGTGTCCATCTCTGAGTTCACGTTTCAATGCTGCTGTGAGCAAACACACATGGAATTGAAGTTATCAATCACATCTTTCTGCAACTTCTCCCAGTGATGAAGATTTATAAAGGATATATTTAGAATGAAAATGTAGCCACATTTACTCTACTTGGCTGATTTTTATTATAAACGCAGGGGTTCTTTTAAATGTAAGTATTTTTAATAGTGAAATAGGAGAAGGTAGAATGGGATTGTGGGAGAAATTTGTTGAAGAAATTTGAGAATAAATCTTTCTTTTGCTGCTTAATAATTCTGTGATCCTGAAAAAAATTCTAATCACCTTTGAACTTTCATTTCTTCTTTCAAATGATACAAATGGCAACATATATTTTATTAATTTAATAATTAATTAATATAAGCAGTCCTTAAATATTACTGCCTTCATCTGCTTTGAAGAGTGACCCTGAGGTACTATCCAATATTCTCATATAAAAGTGTAGAAAAAAGGCATAAATCAGCTTGTATGGGAAAAACAACCTGGTTGTCTTTCCCTCCCTCCTGGGTCTTTCTCTCTCATGTGTCTCCTTTGCTACTCACACAAAACACTTTACTTCTGATGCTTCTGATCATCATCTCTGTGGCAGTTTTCCCCCCACACCACGCAATTCTCTACAGCACCAGCTAGGGGTCCTACAATTTAACTTAATTCAAACATTGTCTACTTGGAGATAGTGTCAAATCCCACAAGTTAAGGGCTCAGTCCCACAAGACTGTCCCCACCCTACTTCAGACGCAAATCAAAAGTAGTTTGTCCCCACCCACAACTTCTGTTCAATTTAGCTACAAAATCAGAGGTTGCCATGACCCTTTCTCAGGTTCAGTTACTTTGCTAGAGCAGCTCACGGAACTCAAGGAAATGCATGTTTACCAGTTTGTGAAAGGGGATGATAAAGGGTACGGATGCACAGCCAAATGAAGAGATAAGGGCAAGGTCTGCAAGGGTCTGGAGTGCAGGAGTGTCTGTCCCCATGGAACTGGAAGGCATCACCCTCCAGATGTGGATGTGTTCATTAACCTGGAAGTTCTCCAAACCCCACGCTATTGGTGTTTTTTGGGGGCTTTCTCAAGCAGGCACAATCCATTGTTAACTCCATTTCCAGCCTCTCTCCCCCCTACACAGAAATGGGGGTGGAGGTGGGGGTGGGGCTGAAAATACCAAACTTCAAATCATGGCTTGCTCGTTCTTGTGGTCAGCCCCCACTGAAGAGCCTACTCAGAGACACTTTGGTAAAAATAAAAAATGCTCCTAGTGGTTGTATCACAAACAGATTTATAGGGGTTAGGAATCCTGTGTCAGGAACAAGGTCAAAGACAAATATTAAAACAGGAAATGCTCCTAATGCTTCTTATCACTTAGGAGATTACAAGGGCTTTAGAGCTTTGTTCTAGGAATTAGAGGCAGAGACCAACATAAATATACTTTATCTCTTAAATCCACACATACATATAAAGTAAGAACAATTTTAGTGAAAATATGCATATGTTTTTCTATATCTCCTTAAGCTTTCTTTTCTTTGATAAAGCAATTAAGTTTATTAACCTCAAAAAGGAAAGAACTTCTAAAATGGACTTTTTTTTAACTTGGGTTTGTTGTGAAATAATCTGGTGCACAGTATAAGATCATTTGTATGCCTTTATTTCTTCTATTTTAACCATCTTAAGCATCTTGGTAGCTGCTGAGTTAAACTAGCCAATGGTGTTAATGGTTGGCAATTACAGATGTTGCGGGTTGATTTAATCACACTAAGCCCCCCATGAGCCAATTCAGAGAAGTGAGACCTGTCAGGAAGGGAGACAGAATACCAAGGCCAGTGGGAAGGGGACACTCTAAGCTGTAACCATTAGGAGCAGATTCAAGGGTCTTGTCCCAGTAATGTGCAGGGAAGCTGCTAAATTTGTTTTCCTGCTGAGGAGATCAACCTGCCTGGTTATGGTCAATGAAAGCTTGATGCCTCCTCTATGAAAGAGATGGTAATGGGGAACTGGGAGCTTGAAAGGTACTCCCCTGGTCCTGAAATTTCTAGATACAACAGAGAAAACAGAATAAAATGACACTAGATAATGAGTGTGAGAGATGGTGAACACACGGAGGTCCGGGTACAAGAAGGCATGGAAGCTTTGCATCCCTTCCCCACACCTTGCCCATCGGGCTGTTCCTCAGTTATACCCCTTTATAACAATTGCACTCTAGTAAGCAAAATGTTTCTCTGCGTTCTGTCAATCACTCTAGCAAATTATGGAAGCCAAGGAGGAGGCAGTCACTGAAACCTCCAATCAAATAGCTACTTGCTCAGAAGCCCAGGCGCAACCCGGACTTGCAACTGGCATCTGAAGTCCTGGCAGAGGAGGCAATCTTGTGACCTACCAGAAAAGTCCAAAATTCTTTACCTTATCAGTATACATGACCTCACTGGGGACATGACCTTTGTCCCCATATGATTCAGTCTGAAGTTTCCTCCAGAACAATACCAAAGATTTGTTATTGGGACTTCCATGCCCATTATCTATCTTGTGACCTTGCTAAGCTTTGTAACTAGAAAGCAGAATTTTTAAGTCGTTGTCTCTTGGATTTCTGAAAATATCTTTGTGACACTTTTGTCTTCAACTTCGACTTGTTGAAAGTGAGTAGTAATTTTGGTGATTACATTTCCATCAAAATTGAATGGGTGATTCCATCATCTTCTGACATGTAATTGACATGTAAAATTGCTGATGAAAAGTTTTCTACCTTTTATCAGCTGTTCTCTGTGCCCCAGCATCACGCTGACTGTAAAATTACTCTTCAGGGACAACTTCACATTTTCCCTGCAGCTGATCAACCATCTTCTTCAGTATCTCGTTTTTTTTTGTCCTTTACTGCTCTACTCCGCTAGATGCCCTTACATTTTTTATCTCTGATTTGATATTTCTCAATGCCAAGTTTACATTATATCTATCCAGTGTGCATTTTCATTTTCTTTCTTATATTTTTATTTTCTTAATGTCTGTTTTATCTTATAGTAATATTTTTTCAGCATATGCTTTTTTTGTGCATTTCTATTCCTATTGTGCATATATACACATAAACATATATAATGACTATAAATAATACATATTCTTTTGGTTCCCAAAAGAATTATTGGGAACCAAATTAATTCAGAATTAATTTCAGATTTTTTTGAGCTCTGAAATTATGTTTGCTTCTCTTTGTTAGGAGATTTTGCTATAGAATTAATTTTTTTTACATAATGACTGACTACAATAAAGGCATCTCCATACTTAGCATTTGTCAATCAGTGAGAGTATGAAATGACCTTGGGTTAACTCCACTTACATTCTGTTCTAAAGTCCTTCTCAGATATACAGCTGGAAATCATGTTGATGTGCACAACATTTAATCTATTTTCCATATTCTTAGCACACTGCATCTAGTACAATTCTTCTAGACCGAAGCGTAATCTCCTTTCATGTCCACTGCTGGTTCTACAATATATAATATGATTCATCCATTCATCCAAAAACATCAACTAGTATCCAGGCACTACTCTTGGCTCTGAAAAACCAACAGTAAATTAAACAAACACCCTGACTCCCTGGAATTTAAATTGTCATCATGGGAAATTGAAAACAAAATGAGTGGGTAATTACTTAGAATGTCAGGAGATAAATGCTGAGGAGAAAACTGAAACAGAGTGAGAGGAATAACATGGCCATTTGTGTAGGGTCATTAGTGAAAGCCTTCTTGAGAGGAGATAAATGTGCACAGATATGAAGGAAATGCGTGATGCATGCAGCTGTCTCTCAGAAGATCATTATAAGCAAAGCCTGTGGCAAGTACCGAGGTCTTGAGATGGGAACATTACTGGTGGGTTTACAGAATTTTAAGGGGACCAGTGAAACTAGAACAGAGTGAAGAAGTGAGAAGTTAGACGTAAGACAGGAGATGTAAAAGATAATGGGGAAATTGACATATTCCACAATGAGTAAATTTATAAAAGCACTGATGCTTGTTATTATTTTCCAACAGAGCTATCCTTTCCGATACCCTCAGAGCACCAAGTGGGGAAAACATTTAACTTTCAGAACATGGCGTGCCATTGTCAATCTCCTGCCTGATTCTACCCCCAGCCTCTCCCACTGTCACTGTTTCTTGTCTAGCTGTTTTCCATAAGTTTTATCTCTAAGATGTAGTGATAAAAAAGGAATCTTTGAAAACATGAGATCATGGGATCTTGGGAATGTAGTGGAAGCAGCATTAGGATTTACTCGAAGACAATCATTCATGCATTGCAATGACTCAGAGCTAGTTGCCTGGTTTACAGGTTATTATGGTCATTGAATTTATGAATGAGGCAGGTGTAGATGCTTTCCAACCTACTTTCTTGTGACTAGACTAATACTGTGTCAGGTCAAGTAGCACAGGTAGCTCCCTAAAAGCATGTTTCAGTAGACTCACTCAACACTGTATTTAGTAAAGATTGAATTTCTGTTGGAATCATTCAACCAATTTACTGTTCTTTTTAGTGTATGTAAGTGTGTGCATGCATATGCATATGCATATTCTCCTTGTTTTCTCTGACTTCCTTGGTATTTCAGTTGGACATTGGGAAAGGTAGTAACCTGAGATATTGGTAAGATAACCATTTAAATCCAAAAGTAAAATCTAATATTTAGGTTTTTAGGGGTGGACTTCAAAAGTTCAGAATATATCTAGGTTTAATGACAGAGCCTGAGACTCTGAAAAAAATGGTAACTTAAGAAGGTAGATATCTATGCAAAAATTAAATGTATTTAATTAGACTCAGATTCTCCCCAATCCATAGGAAAGGCAAAATTCATAATGAGTCTGAAATGACTGCTGAGGGAGTATTATAATGAGCTCAGCCTCTAAATAAACATATTGAGAGGAAGAAAGAAGGGGCATACAACTTAGAACAAATATAGAAGACAGCAATAGATATGTAAGATAGGCCAGAGCTTAGGCTTCAAAACATTGTAAAGTACATAAAATAAATATATTTAGGTACATTCAGGTGAAAAATAAGAAAAAGCTTGCTTGGGGGTAAGAAAGTGTGAGAATGAATTAATAAGAATGATTAACTGTTTGATCTGCTTTTAAATTCTTTCTGTCAAATAAAATCACTCAGAGAAGAAATCCAGGAAAAGGGAACATTAGTAAGAGGGAGCTAAAGGCCAAAACTGATGAATACACCTTCGGATATCACCTTACCAACTCGTCACTAGTCCAGATCTCCTGTCTCCAGTCTGTTACATCCCAGGGGACAAAGGGATTGCAGATGAAATTGCTGAACAGTTGCCAGTCGCCACGAAGCAAGACCAAGTTATTGAATAAATGAGCAAAAATCAGGCAATTTTTATTCCAAGTTTCAAAACCAGTAGAAAGCATGTAAGCCACAAAATGTGGCCAGCAAGTCAGAACAGCCCTAGGCAAAGTATTAGGGTGAATTACATATTTATGTAGCAAAGGAAATGACCATCAGTGAAGCCACTATGAATTAAATAAAAAGAAGTTATCCCAGAGTCTATTTTTCTGAAAAAAACAAAAAACAAAAAACTAACTAAAATGGCACTTCAGCAAGGGGTAACTTTTTGCCAAAATTAAGGTTAGAAGGATCATGTTTGTATTTTTAAAAAAGATTAAGAAAAATAGTAAAAATATCACTTATGTGTGTTTTTATTAAATCAGAGTATATACTTTAAAAGGATATCTTTTGAAAGATATAAAAATGAAATGAAATGTCTTAAAATGAAAAAAACAGCCAACATTACAATTCATATTTATCTATTTTCTTGAATTCTTGCCTCTTAAATTTTTCAGGAAAACTTTTTTTCTGTAATTATTCTCTGCTGTGGCAGAATCTCTCAGAATATTTATGACTCACATTTTCTCCTATTTTATTTTTACAGGTTATCAAATTTAACTGAGAAACCATGAGAGAATTCAGTAAGATGGCTAAAGTAGAGAATAAATGAATAAATTCAATTGCTTTTGTAAAATAAATGGCAACCATTTAGAATGTTGTGGATAATTCACAATAGCAGCAAATCATATAAAACTCATGAATAAATGTGACTAGAAATGTGTGAGATATATCACAATAAATCTCTCCTTAAAGACTAAGTACAATGCACGAATATATGGAGGCATCGACATGGCCTGGGAAGGAAATGCAATACCGTGCTCAGTGAATTCTCTCCAAATTCATATCTTATACATCATTTCACTTCTGATCAGGACAGCCATTGGTGTTTGACATAAATGGCTCTGAAATTCACCTGGAATAAAAAAATGTAAAAATATTTAGAAAAATTCAGTTAAAAATGCTCTACCAGATATTCAGTTGCATTTTTAAATATAATAATAAATTATATACCTGTGGTATAGGTATGTCAAAACACATTGATGAATGAAACATAGAGTTCAGTGGAATTTTTCTCTGTGTTGAGATAATCATCTTCATCCTCATCACTTAACACTGGTTGACCATCTACAATGTGCCAGTTGCTATTCTGAGTTCTCTTGTACATTAACTTGTTTAAGCCTCATGATAATTCTGTATCATAGCTCTAATCTTGCTTTTAAACCGTAGTGTTTAGTCAGATGGTTTAACCCCACAGCGTAGTGCCAGTGTGAGTCTAATGGAGGAAATGAAGGAAGGGTTGACACCAACAGGTTGAAACAAACAAAATAAAAAGAATTGACAGGGTTGTACGAATGAAAGAATTTATGGGAGATTCATGTGCTCCCTTCACTTCAACAAAATATCTATGATCCACATAAGAAAATAGGGACTTGCAAGGCTCTTCCTGAAAATAGGTTTACTGCTAACCTCCCAGCACTGCTCATAGGACTCTCAGAGAAGGGCAGTGGCAGACATCAGTGGGAGAACTTGATATGCGGGGTAGACATTGTGCAAGGCATTGCAGTCTCGTGGTGAGGTGTTAGGCAATTTGAGGAATGGCAACCTGGGACCAGTTCTCATACAGCTGTTCCAGATGGATGTCTTCAAGGTGTCTGAATTTGCAGGAAGAAGACCAGTGATAATTCAGTTTGAGAGTCACAAATTATGGAATACAAACATCTTTCTCCTGTTTTTACATCTAGTGATGAAAGTTTCCTCTGGTCTGTCTTTTGAATGGTCATAAACCTAAGACCACTGATGACTCATTATGTGATAGAATCCACCCTGACTCAGAACTTTGCTGAAGTACATAGACCAGATGGCAAGATCAGACAATTAGGGCCAGAACTCAGAGAAAGCATCCTACGGCTTGTGAGTAGGGAGTCTGGTTTCCCATGAATGAGTTTTTAATCTTTTCCAGTTTCCCACTACCACAGACGGTCAAGGCGACAAGAGAAACCAGAGGAACTATTCAAAGTGGAGTGGTAGACACAACCAGGAGAGGGCGTGTACTCCCCGGATCACCAAGAAACACCATGCTTAAAAAACATTCAGATAGTTGAGAAAACTGATCTCGGGAGGCCAGAAATCTCCAGGATCCATAGGATACAGGACACTGTGTGCACATGTGTGTTCCTTCTGGGAAGATAGTCTTTGAAATGGTAACTGAATTGGGTATCATATGTCTATTAAAAATAAACATGTTTTATTATGTAAAAAATATATACCTTTAGATTAAAAAACTTTATTCTTATAAATTTGTATTAATAATACTAATGTATGTCTTATACTTCTAGGACTTGTGTGAGTGGAATATACTAGCAAAGACTTTAAAAAAATTTTTTTATTTATTTACTTTTAGAGAGAGAAGGAAGGGAGAAAAAGAAGGAAACTTTGGTGTGCAAGAAATACGTTGATCCGTTGCCTCTTGCACTCCTGCAGCTGGGGACCTGGCCCACAACCCAGGCTTGTGCCCTGACCAGAAATCGAACTGGCAACTTTTCTATTTGCAGGCTGGTGCTCAGTCCATTGAGCCACACCAGCCAGGGTGCAAAGACATTATTGATTGAAACCAAATTCTTAAGAAATTTCTGCAAAAATGCATTGACAGAAATATAACCTATGACCATCTGTAAATTATGCCGGTATTCCTAAATATGTTACACAAAAAATAGTTCAGGGAAGTGCCAAAAAGTTGAATTCACAGCTCAAATCTCTCTTCTTCCAACGTCGATCCATACCTCAGAGGTCACTCAGACACCCACAGGTGCAAGCTGCACTTCGCTTTGAGTCATGGTAGGCTTGGTTGGACTGCCTGTAATTAGGGCTCTGATTTAATGCTAAATCCCCCCCTCCACGTTGAGAGCCAACATTCTCCTGGGGAAGTGGCTGCCTGTTTTTATTTACTTACATCAAGCCCCGGACGGCTCCCCTCATTGCTCCCCCAGCCTCCGGCACCGTGTTCCTCACCAGAACTTGGTTTCTGATAGAAGACCGTGGAGCAGACCTCTGGAGAGCAGATGCCTGGCAGAACTTACCAGGTCCCTTTCCCTGGTTCCCCAAGCAGCATTTCTACTCACAATGGCTGATGTTGGAACGCGTCTTCTCAAAAGCATCACAGGGCCACCCAAAGACATGTACATGAATGTTAATGGCAGCATTGTTCATAAAAGCCAAAAACAGGAAGCAATCCAAATATCCACCAACAGCTGAATGTATTTTTTTGAAATGTAACATATCCATACAGTGGAATACTATTCTATTTTTTAAAAAGCTACTGATACATGGCTCATCGTGAAGGAACCTTAAAAATATTATGTTAAGTGAAAGATGTCAGACGCAGAAAAGTACCTGTTTTATGAATGGTCATATGAAATGTCCAGACAAGAAAATTTATAGACAGACAGCAGATCAGTGGTTTTTGCCCAGGACTGGGGGGGGGGGAGTGAGGACGGATGGGAAAGGGGCACGAGGGAACTTTCTTCAGTAATGTAGATTTTCTCATACTGGATTGTGGTGATGGTTGCACAACTCTATAAATTTACTAGAATCATGGAATTAGATACATAATTATAGTGGGTGCATTTTATGTTATGTAAATTATACCTCAAAAAAGCTGCTAAAAATAAAAAAAGCCTGACTGTGAGCTCTCTAGATTCTCTGTGGAATAGGATCCCCTCCCCAATAAGGGAGTTTGCGGCATGGAGGCCAGGTCGTCAGATGACCTGAAGACCAAGGGAATATCTAAGGGGTCCAATGCTGGGGGTCATTTTGTGCTCACTCAGGAATTTCTGGCAATACTTGGGCAGAGCAGGTATAAACATCAGTGCACTAAATCTGTGTGCAAAAATTAACAGGGCTCTGGCTGGTGTGATTGAGCACCAACCTGCGAACCAGAGGGTCCTGTTTGGATTCCCAGTCAGGGCACATACCTGGGTTGCGGGCCAGGTCAGGTCTTCAGTAGGGGGTACACAAAAGGCAACCACACATTGATGTTTCTCTCCCTCTCCTTCTCCCTCCCTTCTCCTCTCTAAAATAAGTAAATAAAGTCTTTTAAAGAAAATAGCAGGTACCTTTTCTCCGTAAAGTAAATCAATTCATATTTTCAGTCTTCATCCCACTTGGCTGGTGAAACAATTATCCTCATTGCACATTGGAATTCCCATTTCTCGCTCACACTCTCGAATTAGACCACGGGGCCAAAACACCGGCAGTGGAGGTGGCTTGTGGCCCTTGGTCACCAGAGCCCCTATTTTCACGACCCCTTCCCTCCAGCGGCACTCTGCTGTTTCAGTGCCAGCCTCAGGAGCAGGATTCTTTGCTGAGATAGACCGAGGCCCTGCCCAGACTACAGCTTGCAAATCAGTGACAGGGAGGCACATCTGTCCTGCAGATGTGCTTTGTTTGGCCTATGCTATATTTTAAAATCACTGTAGCCAACTTTTCAAAGTCAGGAGAATTCACTAAAAAGTCAACATTTCTGGCTTCTCTGGAAAGTGAGAAAATCTAGCAATAAGGGGTCACCTCTTCACATGGCAATAATCACAGGATCTAAGAAGGGGCTGTCCTTTCATCTGCCCTATTTGCCAAAGACTCATCCAAACTCAATTCTCTCCCTGCCACAAAGGCAGAGTGCCAGTTGACATTTAATAATAGTTCCAAGATTCTTTCTTGTTTTGTTTTATTATTTTTTTTGCACCAGGCCCTTTGCAACCATTTACGTGACCTGCTTTTGTCATATTAGGTGTTGGCGATGCCTGGTGCACCTGGAAGGTACAGCCACTCCCCTTGCTGCCTGTCGGGGTCCCCCCAGCAACCTGGACATTGTCCCCCGTGTTTCCCTGTCCCCTGCTGCTGCAAATCTCTCCCTAGTCTGTGAAGAGCCTTCTCTCTCCGTTTTTTAAAGCCATTTTGCTTTGACCACCTAGCTCATTTTTAGCCTCTGGGGTTCAGCCTTTTAAAAACCCAAATAAGAAAATGTCTTTTTCTCAGGCAGCCTGGCCTATGGCCCTTCCTAGACTTCTCTTGAGATAATGGGAGTGGATTCAACAATTCCTACTTGAAAGGAAAGGGAGAAGAGAAAATATTATGGAGAGAGCGAGTATATCACAGGAGTAACTTCATTTTCAGGTGTCTACTTAAGGGGCATATTCACTGAATCAGGTCCCCTACCACTAACATGTTCCATCTTTTGTTTGGAGTCAAAATACAATCGGTTCAGTGAGTTATTAGTCTCTGTATTTTCAGTAGTAACATTGCTGGGCTGTTAAGGCATAAGAAAAATGTACTCATGGAGCTAAATGCCAGGGCCTCCCTCAAATGGGGACTAGCTGCTTCAATTCAGACCTTGGTTAGGAGCTAGCTCCCCCTACCGGAATAAGCTAAGTCACTGGCTACCGGCTCCTGTGTGGGACCTGCGTGCTGGGAAGCAAACCCAGCAGGGAGAGCAGACTCCGAGGTCTGCAGGGAACCCAAGCTCCGAAGGGCTCTGCCCCAGTGAATGCTAAGGTCAAAGGGAACTGCTGGGAGGCCACCAAAAGGAACTCCATTCCCGGGGTCAACAATGAAAAAGCAGCTGGTTGTGGGCACTGTGCCAAGTACACTCAGAAGAAGAGGAGGCATCTGTAGCTTGCACTTGGAGTGAACTTTGAGTATTTACAGATGGGAAGGCTGAGCTTTCTATAAACAGTCACAAAAGCGCAGAAACAAAGAAGCTGCATCCCAGTGCAGAATGTCAAGAGACCAGCAGAAAAGGAATCTGCCGGAGACTGTGCAAAACAAGGGCTCCCCCAGGCAGAGCGGACACAATCACTTAGTCTCTGACTGGGCTGATACCAGACCTTGGGCTGACAGGCACAG